AAGGAAAAACATTTTTCATTACTGTATGTAACATAAATAAAGCTATATGTAAAGCAAAAGCCCGAAACGTAATAAATATTTTCTATACATTACTTGGCGCACCACATTTGGAATATTAAGAGTTATTTTAGTGGTTCATTAAGTCTTATTCAACTAAGAAGTGAAATTAAATAAGTAGTTTAAAAAAGGGTGCAAGTATCGAACGATACCACGTCAGTAATCGATACCGATACCGCTGTTTGTGGTATCGCTGGTATTGAATACCAGGTACTCGGTATCGCCCATCACTACTTGTAACAAGCTTGTTGAGCTCAACAAGCAGTGCATACATGTCCTGTTGACAAATTGTTGAATTGCAGGATGATAAGAAGTTGTTGGATCAACTTGTAACAAGTTTGTTGAGCTCAACAAGCAATTTGTACACATCCTGTTGACATGTTGTTGGAACAGCATTGCTACAAGTCTGCTGCAGGTTTGTTACAACTTGTGCATTTTTATGTGTACTGTGTAGAAAATATATCGCATTTTGTCTGACCCTGCTTACACTTTAGACTCACATGAACAGCTGCAATTTTTTGGTCCACAGTGCCAGTGGCAGTGCCAAACAATCAGATGTGGAAATACTTGAGGCAAAACTTGAAAGCCTAATATTTGAGGTTTCAACTTTGAAAAAAAAGGTAATTCTTTTGATAGTTAAGTTTTTATGTGAAATGATAGAATTTCCTCTAACAAATTTCCTCTCAAAAATAGGCTGTTGTACTATAAATAATTACTGAATATCCAAGATTATATTTTACAAAAACCAACTTGAATTTCATAACATGCAGTATATTTGTAAATGTAGACATGTCCATAAATGACACAAGTTTTTTTATTTTTTTCAACAGCACAGAAATGACATCAAACAAGTTAGTGCAAAGGTTGGTCAACACATTGATGATTATAGTAGTTTTTGCAAATTGCTTTCAGTTACTGAAGCAATTTAATCTTGCCATGCGTATGGTAATAATATAAGTTGCTGCCAAATTACAAATCAAACAACATAGTGTTAAAATTGCAACTTGTTATTTAAAGTGGAAGTCAAGTCCGTTCTGCGCATCGGTTCTGCTCATAACAATGTGAGGACCTCTAATGTAAACATTGCCCAAATTTTGAATGTTTTGAATTTTTCTGAACATAAACTCTATTTCATATTCATTTAGAAGCACAGCGAGCCAAAATGGTGTTAGATTTGACTTCCACTTTAATTTAACAAGTTGCAATTTTAACACTATTAGTTGCATGTTGACGTTGTTATTAAAAATATAAAATCATTGTTTTATATATTTTTTTCCAGCATGAAGCTGATTTGAAAGAAATTAAAATTAAGGTATGTTCTGCTTCATTATTTTTTTGAAAAATAAAGATTTTATCATTTATGAATTATGTAATTTTTAATATCTCTGAGGAATGAAAAAATAGTTTTGAAATCACTTCAGCACATGACCCCAGCACTATGTAAACAGTGACGGACACTTCACAAAATATTGCGGGGGCACCACATGAATATATAGCTTAATCTTTACTCTATAGCCATGGTCGACCACCACACCACCACAGAATAAACCAGAAGGTTCATTCTAATACTAAAGACTAGTCACGCTTTTTCATGCTTGCTACACTTGTTTAGGGATCTGAAACGAGCACGGGCTGCGCATTTTAATAGGAAATAGTATAGGAGTGAACTGCATGGGTATGAGGTTGCGTTACACTTGTTTAGCCGCGAAATTAAAGTCGCGTGTAATTAAGACATAAGTACGAATGCTCAGCGGAGAATTTGGTCTTCTATTTGCAATTTTGCAAAGTTTTACAAATTACTGATCAACCTTGATCAGCCTTAAGGTAATTCCGAAGTAATTGTTCCCGAAATGAGAATGTGCTGAAACTTCCCAGGCATGGAGTTTATGATATACTTAAAGTAAAATCACACAAAAAAGTCGGGGTCACCGAACTCGTTAAGAAGATATGACAATCACAATATACCACCTTTATCCCAATATAGCGCCATATTGACGCTCATTACGAGTAACAGCAAAATCACAACAGTCCGATATTTATTGACGTTTTTAGCGCGGATTTTGCTTTAGTAAACCTATCTTGTAATTATTTTTGAAAAAATATTGTGTTTTGAGCAAAATGAAACTACTAACGCGTACAATTCTGATCCATAACCGTCTTTTCCACATTTCTTTACATATCTTTCTTTGAGAACATGCATTGATAAAGCATTTTTTTTTCAAGATCCAGAAATGATTTTTCTTTTAATTTCGGATATGAAATGTAAAATGCATTAAAGAAATAAATTATCAGTTAAAAAACGGGGGTCACCGATCAACATTGATTTTAACGTCATTCTTTGCACGAATGTTAACCGAAGATGTTTTGAAGTAACATAAAATTGTCATAAAATGATATTTTTTTTAAACGGTACGTATAATGGATGAAATTATAAGTTATACGATGTGCGCAGTAAATGTGCGCAATGCAAAACTGCGGAATTAGAAACCTTACGTACGATTTAGGATGGCAACGGCTACCAATAGTCAATACAATAAATAATTGAAAATAATTGAATAATTACAATATATGAATAATTTAGACGTTGTCCTTCGCTCTGTTTACAACGCCAAATCACATATTTTAACTTCAAACTGGGTTCAGCAGAACTCTTCCCAACCATAAAACCCATGTCTTCAACTTCTAAGACTGTATTAAATTCATACGATTGATAATGTACGACGAATTATCTTTACTACCATTTATTTGAAGGAGTTTGTTTTGGCCGTCGTCGTCGCGTTGCCGTCCTAAAATCGTAAGGTCTCTATTGAGCTGAGCTAATTAAATCTCTACATTAAGAAGACAAGGGCTCAAATAAATAAACATTGTACATGGCTGTACAGTCATGGTGTACCCCATTTTATTTTTAACTCTTTCCATTGAATGTATTACAGTATTCAATGACAATGTACAGAAGTATGTTAAAGCTTGCATTGTTCTAAAAGATGCATTTACAACTGATTTAGGGAAGCCTCACATATCGATTTTGTCCATGAGAAACATATGTTCGTTTCTCTGGAGACCCCCCCCCCCCCCCCCCCCCC